ATCAAGAAAGTGAAAAGACAACCCACAGAATAAGAAAGACTATTTGCCAATCACATATCTGACAAGGACCTAGTATATAGACTCTATAAAAAAACACTTAACAACTCAACAATAAATCCAATTTAAAAATTGGCAAAATAAAAGGACTTCTGGCCAAGATGGAGGTGTAGGTAGACACACTGTGCCTCCTCAAACAATTGACATAAGGACAACAACAATTCAGAAACAAAGTAACAACCAAAACTGAAAGAAAATTAAACTGCATGAAAGTCCAACAACCAAGGAGTTAAAATAGACACATTCATCCAGACCCGCAGGCAGGGCGCAGTCGGGCAGTGGAGCAGAGAAGGGTCGGGGCACAGGAAGTGGTGACACCAGAGCACAAGGCACCCAGAGTGGGCAAGGCAGCAAAAGGGCGAACAAGGAGGTACCAGGCAGACCCTAGGCACCCGGGCGGTGGCTAGAAGACCCCGGGCATGGGGTGCCAAAGGACAGACCTAGTGAGGCGGCGATTGAGACGTAGGGCACGGTGTGCAAAGTGGCTGGCTGACCTTGCAGAGGTCTCACATTCACAAGCAGTAACTGGGGAGGGAGACAAATCTCGCAACCCAGGGTCCTAGCACTGCCGGGAAATAAAGCCTCAAAACACCCATAGAAAATACTTGTGGGGGTTGAGGCACAGGGAGAGTCTCCCACCCCCACAAGAAACTTCACTGGAGAAACCCGCAGGAACCTAAAACACATACAAGCCCACTTATATAGGAATCAGCATCAGAAAAACCCAATTTGCTTGGGGGAAGCGGTGGAAGAGGCTGAGGTGCAACAGAGAGGGGAGCAAAGCACCATTTTTTCCCTCTCTGATCGCATCCCCACATACAGTGTCACAACCCAGTGACTTGGGTTGCCCCACCCTGGTGAACACCGAAGGCTCAGCCCCTCATACATAATAGGTGAGAACAGACCAAAACATTATGGCTCAAGCAGAAAAACAGCTCAAAGCCCCAGAGCCAATACTTCTAAAAGACAAATAGATAGCCAACCTATCAGATGGACAGTTCAAAACACTGCTGATCAGGATGCTCACAAAACTGGTTGATTTAAGTCACAAATTAGATGAACAAATGAAGGCTACACTAAGTGAAATAAAGGGAAATGCACAGGGAACCAATAGTAATGGGAAGGAAACGGACTCAAATCAATGCAGTGGACCAGAAGGAAGAAAGAAACAACCAAACAGAAAAGAAGGAAGAAACAAGAATTCCAAAAAATGAGGAGAGGCTTAGGAACCTCCCAGACATCTTTAAACATTCCAACATCCAAATTATAGGGTTATCAGAAGGGGAAGAGGAAGAGCAACAAGTGGAAAAGTTACTTGAACAAATAATAAAGGAGAACTTCCCCAATCTGGCAAAGGAAATAGACTTCCAGGAAGTCCAGGAAGCTCAGACAGTCCCAAAGAACTTGTAGTCAATGAGGAACACACCAAGGCACATCATAAGAACATTAGCTAAGATGAAAATGAAGGAGAGAATCCTAGAAGCAACAAGAGATAAGGAGGCAGTTACCTACAAAGGAGTTCCCATCAGACTGTCAGTTGATTTCTCAAAAGAGACTTTGTAGGCAAGAAGGGGCTGGAAAGAAGTGTTCCAAGTCATGAAAGACAAGGACCTACATCCAAGATTGCTCTATCCAGCAAAGCTTTCATTTAGAATGGAAGGGCAGATAAAGTGCTTCCCAGATAAGGTCAAGTTGAAGGAATCCATCATCACCAAGCCCTTATTATATGAAATGTGAAAGGGACTTATCTAAGAAAAAGAAGATAAAAAACATGTATACTGAAATGACAGCAAACTCACAATTACTAACAATCACCTAAATAAAAACAAACTAAGGAAACAGCTAGAACAGGAACAGAACCACAGATGGAGATCACATGGAGGGTTAGCAACAGGGGAGTGGGAGGAGGGGAGGGGGGAAAGGTACAGAGAGTAAGTAGCATAGATGGCAAGCAGAAAATAGACAGGGGGAGGGCAAGAATAGTAGGGGAAATGTAAAAGCTACAGAACTTAAGACACATGGACATGAACTAAAGGGGGGAAATGTGGGAGGGAGAGGGTGTGCAGGGTGGAGGGGAATGAAGAGAAGAAATGGGACAATTGTGATAACATAATCAATAAAATATATTTGGGAAAAATAAAACTAAATAAATATTGGCAAAATAATTGAGTAGATATATCTCCTAAGATAAACAATGGCCAATGAACACATTATGAAATGCTCACTATTAGTTGTTAGGAAAATGTAAATCAAAACCACATTAAGATACAACTTAGCATAATGTTTTTAAAGTCTAACCATGTTGTTGTATGAATCAGTACTTCACTCCTCTTACTGTCCAAATAATATTTCATTGTATGCATAGACCACATTTTGTTCATCCATTTATTAAACAATGGGCATTTAGATTGTTTTCACTTTTTGGACATTCTAAATAATGCTATGAATATTCATGTGAAAATCTTCTTGTGAACATGTATCTTCTGTTCCTTTGAATTATACACTTTTTTAAGATTTTATTTATTTGTTTTTAGACAGAGGGGCAGGGAGGGAGAAAGACAGAGAGAGAAACATCAATGTGGGGTTGCCTCTTGTGCTCCCCACACCGGGGAACCTGGCCTGCAACCCAGGCATGTGTCCTGACTGGGAATCAAACCACTGACCCTCTGCTTCGGCAGTCTGGCCCTCAATCCACTGAGCCACTCCAGCCAGGGTGAATTATATATTTTTAAAGGATGAATTTTATGATATGTGATTTGTACCTTAATACAATGAGTATAGCCCTAAATAATATAGCAGTGTTTTGCATACTCTGCAGTTTGGATCACAAATATCACACTCCATACTTTCTTTACATGTCTTGTTTATTTCACTTGACATTATGTTTGTGAGATTCAGCCATATTGCTGAATCTATTTTTATTTTTTGCTATATAAAATATATTACTGTATAATATGACAACTCATTCATCTATTCTACTCTTGAAGGATAATCAAAACTTTCCAAAATAAAAATAACTTGTTTTTCATTACAAAAGCAACATAGTCATAAAAATATAATTTAGACAATACAAAAAGGTATAAATACAGAAGTTTAAATCACGGCAATTTTACTGCTCCAAAATTACTAATTTCAGTCTATTGTATATCCTTCCAAACTACACACGAACGCACACATGCGTTCTCATACAGTATGTCTAGATGCTGGGTTCTTTTTATTCTCACCTGAGGATATGCTTATTGATTTATAGAGAGAGGAGAAGGGAGGGAAAGAGAGAGGGATGGAAACATCAATGTGAGGGAAACATCAATAGGATGCTCTCACAAGTGCCCCAACACCTAACCCAGGCATGTGCCCTGACCAGGAGTCGAACCTGTGAGCTTTCGGTTCACCAGAGCGTGCTCCAACCAAATCAGCCACACCAGCCAGGGCTAGATGCTATTTTTTATTTTTTGTTTAATAAAATGTGTATCTCTTTCCATCCCTATTTTCAGTATAAGTCATTTTTTTGCCTTCTCTTGTCATCCTTGACAACTGATCTCAGACAGTTTCAGGCAAGGAATGAAATGGTGGGCTTACTCCACTCAGCTGCCAGTAAAACTTTTTCCACAGGATTTTACAGATTCAGGAAAAGCTGAGGGGAGAACTCAGCAATGACAGGTACTCAGGTGGACATGAAAGTAGCAAAAGAAAACCAGAGAGTGCCCACCCCCCTCCTCCCTATCTGCAGGGGAAGTCCCAGTCAGATAAAGTTTGCAAGGTCACTGTTCTAGATGCTTCACAGGAAGTCTGTTGGGATCAGACCTAGGACTGTGGCACTGTCTCACCCAACGGGATACTCAGGGCAGAGCAAGCCAGCCTTGGCTCCCAGATCTTTGGGCACCCCAGTGCTCTGGCACTGGTGGGAGGCAGAGCCATTCCTCAAAACTCTGGGGTGTGGGGGTGGCTCAAGATGCTGTGAGGCCTCAGTTCTCTGGGCTTTACAGGTGACCTGATTCAGTGGGAGAGCTTTGCAGCCTGTCCCAAGGATTGGAATCTCACTTTCACCCTTTCAGAGATGTGTGTCCTTGGTGAAGCTAAATTTCTGTGTTAAATGGAGATAACAACACCTACTTCATAAGATTTATGAAGATTGCAAGGAATAATTCATTTGCATCACAGGACATCTGGCTGGTCCCAATCTCCAGTTCAAACTGCCCCAAGCTCCAATGTTTTAGATAAGTGGTTCTTAAACTACTGCAGCCTCAGAATCACCTAGAGTACCCACTAAAAAAAATGCATTGCTGGACCCACCAGAGAAGTCTCTGATCAGCTGGGGAGGAAGCTGGAGAATTTACATGGGGAGCAGGTCGAGTAGGCCCATACACCAGATGAGTGGGGTAAACAATGTGGGGGACCGAACCTTGGAACAGGACCTGCCACCACCTCCATGCTGTTGGACCCCTCTCCAGCACGCCCCTGCACCCACAACCCGCAGGCAACGCTCCCGCCTTGGGCCCTGGTGTCCCTCCCGTACTAGGTACCCCATCCAGCACCTCAGCTAACCAGCCTCTGGCCCCAATCTGGCTCCTTTCCCAGGTGCAAGCGTCCTTCCTATCTTCTAGGTTTACCTATCGAGTACCTACCTCTCAGCCGCGTGTCCCTACTCTGAGCTCCCACAACTCTGGGTTGTGGGCACTGGATCCCCGCTCCCGCCGTTTACATTATGATCCATGCTCCCCAAGCCTGGGACCCCCGATGTGCCCCCGCCCGGCCCCAGAGTCCCCTTGGAGGTCTTCCCACCCAACGTTTACTCTATCTCCTGCGCAAACCTGTTCCCGATGCAGCTCCGACACTTCCCCTACCCTTGGCCGCCCTCAAGCGCTCGGGGCTCCCCTTTGGGCTTCACACTCCTCGTACCCCTCCTGGGCCCCCGCCCCAGTCAACCGCAGTAGCGCGCTTACCAGACCGCTCACTAGAGGCGGAAAGCTGAAAGCTGAATCCTCTGGGTCAGGACTATGACGAGCGGGGCAGTTGGGAGGGCTAAGGGAGGAAACCGCAAAGGGTGAGCCGTCCCACCGCCCCACCCTCCAGAGCACGGCCTTGGCGGGTCAGTGCTAGGAGGAGACTGGCCGGAGCCGGAAAGCTGGGCCCAGCAGGCCCCGCCCTCCAGCCCGAAGCGCCGTGAATTGGAGGTGGGGAGTGCTAGAGTCACGCAGCAGCTCCAGGCTGGAGTCACCTGGTAAAAGAAGGTTTCCTGAGTGTGCCCAGCTATCCACATCCCCTGCACTTTGGAGAAGCGTCTCTTCGGAGTCTGGTTTACAAAGGTGGAAACCAAATTTCCTGCTGAGAAATCCTCAGGGGAGAAAAGGAACGTGAGAATTTCTCCTGTAAAGGATATGTGAAGACCAGCCATTCCTGAGACATAGGTGTCTGGCCTGCAGCCATAAAGTCTCCAGAATTAGTTTTTTTGCTGTTGTGGTTAACTTTTTAAGTATGGAAATTTACAGACCTACAAAAGTGGGACAATAAAATGGCCTCACAACCATCTGCCAACTTCAATTATGTCTGCATCTTTTTGTAATTTTAATTATTATATTTATTGATTTTGCTATTACAGTTGTCCCAATTTTTCCCCCTTTGCCCTATCCACCCTGCACCCCCCAATCCTGTCTGGTGATTCCCCTTCCTTTGTTTATGCCATGGGTCATGCGTGTAAGTTCTTTGGCTATTCCATTTCCTATACTTGCTCTTAACAACCCTCTGCCTATTCCTTAACTGCCAATTTGTACTTTTTAATCCCTTTACCTTTTTCCCTATTCCCCCAGACTCCTATCCCCACTGCCCATGATCCCAATGTTCTATGATTGTTTCTGTTCTGCTTGTTTGCTTAGTTTGATTTTTAGATTCAGTTATTGATCATTAGGTATTTAATTCCATTTTAACATTCATAGTTTTCAACTTATTAAATAAGTCCCTTTAACATTTCATATAATAATGGCGTAGTGATGATGAACTCCTTTAGGTTTATCTTGCCTGGGAAGCAGTTAATCTGCCCCTCAATTCTAAATGATAGCTTTGTGGGACAGAGTAATCTATCTTATAGGTCCCTGCTTTTCAATACTTTCTATACTTCTTGCCAATCCCTTTTAGCCTGCAGTTTCTTTTGAGAAATCAGCTGACAGTCTTATGGGATTCCTTGGTAGGTAATTATCTGCTTTTTCCTTGATGCTTTTAGGATTCTCTATTGTTAACCTGTGGCAGTTTAATTATGATGTGTCTTGGTGTGGTCCTGTTTACATCCATCTTGTTTAGAATTTTGTGTGCTTCCTGGACTTGTATGTCTATTTCCTTCACCAAATTAGAGAAGTTTTCTTTCACTGCTTTTTCAAATAGATTTCCAATTTCTTGCTCTTGCTCTTCTCCTTCTGGCACCTTATGATGCAAATGTTGGAACATTTGATGTTGTCCCAAAGGTTCCTTACACTATCCTTGATTTTTTGGATCCTTTTTTCTTTTTGCTATACTAATTAGATGCCTTTTTCTTCCTTATGTTCCAAATCATTGATCTGATTCTTGACTTCATCCACTTCATTCTTGATTCCCTGTAAATTGTTCTTCATTTCAGTTAGTATATCCTTCATTTCTGCCTGGGTCTTTTTTATGCCTTTTGATGCTGAGTTCTTTGAGCAGCCTTATAACCAGCATTTTGAACTCAGCATGATAGATTGCTTATCTCCATTTTGTTTAGTTCTTTTCTGGAGTTTTGTTCTGTTCTTTCATTTGGGCCAAATTTTTTGTCTCCTCATTTTGGCATCCTCCCTGTGTTTGTTTCTGTGTATTAGGTAGAGCTACTATGACTCCCTGCCTTGGTAGCATGGCCGAATGTAGTAGGTGTACTGTAGAGTCCGGTGGCACAGCCTCCCCTATCACCCAAGCTGTGTACTTGAGGTACTCCCTCTCTTTGGGCTGAATATTCCCTCCTATTATAGATGAGTCTTGATTGCTGTCAATAAGTCAGTGGGAGGGATTTACCCAATCCAGACAGCTGGTAAGACTGACTGTGACCCCTGGCCAGCAACCAGGGAGGTGGTTGGGTGGTACTCTGACATAGTCTGTAACTGTACGCTGGGTGTGCAGGTTCTGGGCTTTGAGCAAGGTCAGCCTCCACCTGTGTTCAGTCTGGGTCCCCTTGGCATAAGCTATACAGTGATCTGCAGATGGCTGTTGCTAGTGCTGAGCATGGGGCCCACTCAATGAGAGGTGTGGGGGCTGGGCTTAGCTATTGTTTGAGCAGATTAAGGAAAGTCTGAAGCCTGCACCTAGCCCAGCCTTTCATATGGAAAAGCCACTATTAGCAGCATAGGAGGGTTGCTTGGGTGGGCCTGTAAGTTAGATGTGGTGGACTGTAGGGAACCACTTCTTGAGACATGGAAATGTAGCCCAGCATCCATGTGCAAAACCAGTGGGGGGCAAGTCAGCACACAGGACCACACCCATGAAGAAGTTCTCCTGTGGGAAATCAGGCCTGCATTATACCTAGGCTACTTTGTGACTTGCTCTTGCTAAAATTCTCTCACCCTGAATTCAGGCAGAAAGCCCTTGCTGCATATCTTCAAAGTAACTTCCTGAAGTCTATGCTAATTCTCCCAAGTAATATAAGCAGACCTGTTACTCTTATCATTCCCTTGCATTTGCAACATTTTTCAATGGACTGAATTTACAAGTTTGGGTCCTAGCAGCCCTTGGGTGCCCCCTTGTCTTAATCCTTATTTGTGCTTTATGATATATATGGAAGTTGTTTTCTTGTGATCTCATTAAAAAACAATGAATAGTAGGTTTCACAGGCTTAACAACTACAATAGATTTAAAAAACAAAAAAGAGGGAGATGTTGGGAACCATCCCGCCTGGTTTCAGAAGCTATAACCCCCCTATGGCTAAGGCTGAGTGAGCGACCTTTGGACCATAAGCCACTAAGGAGGCAAAGTTTATCTCCCTGTCAGGGGTGCCACTTCTCTCCTTTTTCTTCACCCTGCCTGGTTCCCAGTGCTTGATCGGTTAGCCAGTGACGGGTAAGATTCCTCAAGGGAGGAATGACCTAAGACAGGCACAATCACAGGGAGGCCCCAGGGAAGGACTTAGGGTGCTATAGCAAAAGGGAGTGATGGAACCTCACCCCCTCAGCTTTGACATAGCCTGAGTCCTCATTCTGTCAGCAAGAAGTCTCCTGATCTCTTGGCTGCCTTACTTCCCCTGCCTGACTTAAGCCCAAAACAATGACAAAGGGCAGTGCAGCCCTGTGCTGGAAAGGGCAGGTTCCCTGGGTGATCAGGCCTAAGAAAGAATACATAAAATCCTATGAAATCTGCTTCACTAAGAATGTCCTCTGTTAAATGATAAGGGTCTGAGCAGGAAATGAGTTTGTTTCCCAAAATTTTGTAGTCCTTTAGCTAACAGACCCTGACTCAGAATAAGCCCTAGTAGTTCATTGTATGTTATCTATTGTTTGATCCTTACTGCCTGACAATGATTAATGAGCTTTACCTGTATTCTTGTGCAAAATGAACCCAGCAAAATGAACCCTTTTACAGCCCACTGAGGAAAAGTCTCTTGGCTCTTCTCCTTTGAAAGATTGGCCACCTTTCCACCCCAAGCAGATCATGTCTTGGTAGACTTATTCTCATCCTTGGTGGCTGGGGGGGCCCTGCAGGCAGAGCCACTCCACATCTGGCACCCAAATAGGGACCCAGGGCTACGAGCCATCATTGTGGACAACACACCAACTTGGTGGGAGTACACACACATCACTCCAGGTAAGGGCTGATGACACCGAGTGCTTTTTGGTTAGGTCATAGGGTGTGTTGAACTTCAGAGTAAAGAGTTTTCTTCCTAGGTCACTCTCTCTTGGACTGCTTTGCAACTATACCTTTTTTAGTAAGCAGGAGCCTTGCTCTCTGTCCCAAGTATTCACCACAACCTCGCAGGCATGGGTGAAGCAGTTAAGAGCCACAATGGCGCTCTCCACAACACTGTGAAAAACACTCTGAAGCCCATCCCTGCAGCACAACCCCCAACTAAGTCTAGGCTTCAGAGAAAAGACAAAGACTTTCCCTTTAATCAGCTTTAAAAACAGCAACTAGTTAATGGCTGTCTACAAGCACATCAGCAAATTGTTTCTTTCAAGCTGCCTCTTGCAGTCCTTTTGATTTTGCCTTTTCTTTCCATCTGCCTGCATAAGGAAAAGCAGATAGTGGATGAGTATTTCGGTTTCAACAGGACTCCAAAGATCACTTTCCAGAAGAATTTAGTGTTAGTAACAGGTTTTGTATCAGAGTTTTTGGCATTTTAGCTCTGAAGACAAAAGGCACTTCCTCCCATCACCTTGAGAAATCGAGTCCTTGTGAGAGTGTCTGGGATCCATTCATAAAATGTGCAGGGGCCTTATGGGGTCCTCCAACACCACTTAATGTAACTTCTGGCTTGTCCAGGAAAGCGCAATATGAAGGCTGGTCACCTAGCACTTCAAGCCCCTCCCCCCCATCGCAGTCTTAAAATCTTGGGGGAGGACCTGAAACCCATAAGCAGGGTTGGGGTATGAGGAAAGTCCGGTACACTTTCCTGACTGTCTTCCACCAATAGCACATTTCTGACCCACTACATTCTTTTCACTAGCAAGAAATAGGATCTGAGGGTGCAGGCGGAGTGAAAGCAAAACTGAAACTGATTTGGTAATTGCCATGCTTGCAGTGGGAGGAATTTCAGAAAACGTTCTTTTATGTGTTAAGGAATTTCTTTAAAAGTTTCTAAGAATCTTCAACCACTGGGAACAAGTTTTATAAGGAACAAGAGCAATGTGTTTGGTTAGTTCAGAAGCTTTTGGGGCTGCTGGTGAATGGCTCCTTGATAAGGGATCTTTAGACTTAGTTATTTAAGAAAAAGTTGGGCAGAAGTTGAAATAACACCAGGTGATGTGGGATAAGATTCTAAGGTTAATGTCTCACTCCCTCTTTTAGAGGATTTAATTTGAAAATAGTAGTTTGCTTGAATTTTCTTTTTTTGTTTTGAAAGAAACAGCTCAGTTTCAAAATATTTTGCTAAACCTCTGATAAATAGAAT